CCCTTCCCGCGTGGGTGGTAGTGGGATGGGATGGAGTGGGGTGTGTACAGGTAATCCTCGACTTACAACCGTTCATTTGATGACCGTCCGAAGTTGGACGGTGGCAGTGTCCCCTTTTGTGACTCTCCAACAAGCAAAGTCAATGGGGAAGCCAGATTCACTTACCATTGGTGTTAATTAATTTTAACCAAGTTAACTAATTTAACAAAAAGTAGGCAGCGCCAAATGATTTCCACCTTGCCAAATAATCCATGGGCTTGGATTTTCTTCCAAAGTTAAAAGAAGGAGATAGATATTTGATTGTGAGCGCTGTTAAGTACAGAAGTACTTAACAATGGCAACAATGGTCAGAGGAATCCTGGCCGGGGTAGGGGGTTGGACTAGATGATCTCTTAAGTTCCCTCCCAGCCCTAGGATTCTATGATTGTTCAATTATTATTGACTTTTCAGGTAAAACTACCCAAGAGGGAGTGTTGTGCTCCTTTAAAAAGTCAGAGCTTTTGCAATCCTGATTGGGGGCAACTCACAACAACCCTGACAAGATTTTGACGCCAGCATTCAGAAGTGTCAAATTCTCCTGAAATTGCGAGAACTCTCAACTCGTCCGAGTTTGGGGAAATTCGTGAACTTTCAAACTTTATTGAAAGTTTATTTAAGCCTCCTCTTGCGATTGGGAACCATTTGGGATTTCAAGGCACCCATTATGTTTTCCTTGTCCTTTTTTTAAAAAAAAGTAACTTATCATCTAAGAAATGTTCTTTTGCTCAGTGATTTTAATGTTCTCAACTCGGAAGGACGGGGGACAACTGGGCCAGCAGCCAAGATTCCTGCTTACCAGACGGAGATTTCCCTCTTCCACAAGCAGTCCAGCTTAGAAGGGAGGTTTCCACTGAGCCCATTCCAGAACTGATAACTGACTGCGAACAATCCATGATTGATTGCCGTGTGGTGGTCACTCTGGGTCACCAGGTGATAGGTGTGTGTGTGTGGGGGGGGGGGGTTAGCCTAATCACCACGTAGCTATAAAAGGTGGTGGGGAACCGGCTGTCAGCTCTGACAATGTATTCATTGCCTTAATGCTTTGTTGGTCAGTTCCTGCCCGAGGAAGAAGATGGAGGAAGTAGATAAACTGCATTTTCAAACCTTCGTGTTCGGCTGTTTTCATTAACCCTTCGGAACCTGACAGATGTTCTTTCTAATCTAAAAAGTACGGCGCCCTTGGTGCTCTCTGAACTTGGTTATTTGTTCGCAGATGTTTCATTACCCGACTTGGTTACATCATCAGAGAGAGGCAGTTACAGGGTTTGCTACCTGTTTATTTACTAGAAAATTGCCCTGCCATTGTTAGTGGGGGTATGTTTTTTTCTCCTTGATGTTCCTTGAATAGGATATTGGTTTTGCTTGTGGTTTATCTGGTGTTAATACCCACTTTACACCAGGCAATGATCAAGCAGAAAATAATACCTTAATCGGGGAATGACTAAGCAAAAAAAAAAA